CACATGGGGTTTGTGAAGGCTTGAATCAGAAAATCATGCTGCCTTATCTTGAGTTAAGTCTTGGGGGTTCATGCCCACGAAAGGCATTTAACGGGGGTCCATGGTGAACAAAAGGTTGAAAACCACCGACTTATACCATCAAAATGTAAAATTTAAATTAAATTTTATTCTTTTTACCATGATCTTTGGCTTCCTTTCTCCGTATAAGCATTGGTATCTTGTTGGTTGAGCAGATTATTGTAGCCAAGGGCAAAGCTGTGTACGGAACTCCACAGACAGAATCATACTTGAGTGCGGCATCCTTTGCTGAACAGAAAAGGAGATCTGCTACCTGAGAGAATGGTTTTAAAATATATTTTATTAGCACACAATATATCTATCTACCAGTGAGTGAAAGTTTAAAAAGGAGTTTTCAAAATCCTCCTAGGGCAACATAAAAAGTTTGGTCTCAGCTTCCAGATAGAACAGTTGAAAGAATAATCACTTATTCATCAGCTTAAACAACTGGATAATTAAGACTGCATTACATTAGTTGTTTCTTTATATCATTTGAAGCACAAAGGAGACCAAAGAAGCAATTGTTCCTTTATCAAATATTCAATAAATAATCATCTGAAATGTCTTTGATTTATATGGGCAAAAATTATTCACCTCACTTATACAATTTCCCTTGTCCCCAATCCTTAATTTGTGTTCCCACTTATTCTTCAGATTTTAATTTCTGAAGTAAAGCTTCCTGGCGTTTGACAATCATCTCCAAAGCACCCAACTTCATAATAGTATCAAGCGTAACTTGATACTAAGCATTTTCTACAGACTTCCAAGACCAGACCAGACCGCCAAGAAAAAGCAAGCATTTTGACTTCTAGCAATCAATTAAGTGGGTTTGCACACTACCCTCACACACATTATCAGCGTATGTTACCACTTTGTCTGGGAAAATGAGATGCCTGCTTTTCTTAAAAAAATCAGCTATACTTCAGCTTACTTCCTCAAGGATCAGGTGGCTATATTGCTAAGAAATTATTTGGTACTTTTGACTTTAGCCGATACATAAATTGTGACCTTTCCTGGACTAGAATAGTCTGGTCAGAGTGATGCATATTTTAGTAACACGTCTGTGTTGTTTTAACCTATTATCCTGTGAAGATGGATTTGAACCTTTATCTGGTATATATTGCTATTGCTTAAAAAAAAAAGCAGCATGAAAAATCAGATACAGTTATACCTACTCTACAGGGTCTGTCCAGGCTATCTCCTCAAATCCAAATTTTGCTGAAAAACTCCTACAAAGTCTACAGATACTAGCCTTTGTGATTCTTGGAGAAGAATCTCTTCATAATCTTGGCTATGAGCAATGTTTACAATCAAGAAACAAAATGAGAGACTTCTCAGAGCAAAAGATTCTGCCTAAGCCTAACTGATCTAAAAATCCTACCCACTTCTGTATCACTGCCCAGGAAACAACATGAGTATGTCCATTTTGGGCCTCCTACATTAACTTTAGCTGAAATAATGTTTAATTACGGCTACTATGATTTGGATTGCAAATACGGGTAGTCCCCGAGATACGACAATTGAGGCCAAAAATTTATGTTGCTAAGTGAAACATTTGCTAAGTGGGCTTGTTCTCATTTTACGACTTTTCTTGCCACATTTGGTAAGTGAAATCACTGCAGTTGTTAAATTAGTAAGACTGTTGTTAAGTGGATCTGGTGTCCCCCATTGGCTTTGTTTGCCCAAAGGTCACAAAAAGTGACACTAGGACACTGCAACTGTCGTAAATGTGAATCAGTTGTCAAGCATCAGAACGTAAATCACCAGAACACAGGGGAATGCTACAACGGTCATTAAATGTTTTTTAAAAATGGCCCTAAGTCCCTTTTTCAGTGAGCTGCTGTAAATCGAGGGCTACCTGTAATCCCACAATCTCCCACGACAGTAAAGAGCTAAAGATTCCACCTCTCTTTGCTCAGCCAACGATCAGCCCTAATTTTGCAACCTCGTGCTAGTAGGCTGAGTTTCATTATTTTTTTCAATGGGATTTTTCAAGGCTTTTTGATCAGTGCCTTTGAAGTACCATTTGCTGGTAGAAAGCCGGGATCACACAACCTCCTGACCTGGGACATATACACGTGAACCGCTCTCACCTCCAGCAAAGGAAGCAAGGCAGCACAAAAAACCCGCGCCTTCTTCAGCATCAGCACCCGGAATTCCCGCGACCGACTATTGGCTGGCTGGATTCCAAAGGCCACGCCTTCTTTTCATTTCATCTAACTTAGCCCCGCCCACTCACCATAACCGCTTTTACCGTTCACGCCGGGTTGAACTTCGCGGGGTTTGGACGGATACCTTATTTAGCAGCGCCGGATGCGACACGATGACGCGGAGGTCGATGTAGACCGGGGAGACCAGGCCGCTCTTCAAGACGAATTCCCCGAAGCGCAGAGCCTGAACTCCGTACAGCTCAGACGCCAGCGACTCCATGGCGCTTTTCGCTTTCCTCGTACCGCGCGCGGGCGAGAAGGGCGGGGGGGGGGGGGGGTGGCCGGCGCGTGCGCCGCGGACCTTGTCGCCGAACAATGACGAATATTTAGCAGTCGATTTTTTGAAGCGTGGCTTGGAACCCGGAAGCGGCAAGTGACGTCGCACCAGGGCAGAAAATGGCGTTTGCGCCCTCTGCCGGCGTGGAGGAGCAAATAATGGGCGTGGCTGGAGAGTTTTCGCATTGCTGAGTAGGGGCTTAGTAAAAGGGGAAAATCTAAAGTGTTGGTCTAGGTTTAAATTCACAAATCATAGTTTTACCCGAGACACGCCAAGATAGAACTTGGTGGCATTTGGAAGATGGGCAGCATGGGGCATTAAGGGAAAATGTATGGAGACCTCGGTTCAATTTTCCCTTTGATGGTTGTGATCAGTTCTCGATATGGTTTTATCTCAAACTTCGTGAGCATGAAAATCATGCGTGACTCGTGTATTCTGCCTTTTGGTGTTCTGTAGTTTGGCTATTTTAGAGCCAAGACTCCTAACATGATGACCTCTGAATGTCAATTTATTTACAGTAAATGTAGACTGCGTTCAACTGCAACAGAAATAGCAATTATTATTATCATTGAAAATAACAGGGCCAACATGAGCAGCCACAACCAATTGAGCTTGAGGCTCTTCTAATTCCAAACCGGAATTGATAAACAGCAAAATAGGAGGGAACCAAATTTGGAAAAGTCGGTTTATATCCTAAGCGCACACGTGAATGGGAAATGCATATGATTTAGTTCAAGGAAAATTGGTTCTACGCCAGTATTTCTGAACCTTGGCATTTTTAAAAGATGCATGGACTTCAACTTCCAGAATTCCCCAGCCAACATGGTCTGGGGAATTCTGGGAATTGAAGTCGATGCATCTTAAAAATACCACGATTCAGAAACACTGCTCTAGGGCTTGAAAATCTATGCTTCAAAAACATTGCTGTCAGTGCATCTTTCCTTCTGAGATTGTATTGCAAATCTGATTTTGCACAAGATATTTTGAGCATATGTTTTTAGTGAGAAGGAACTGTTACATAATCTTAAAACATTTCCACTTAAGATAGCCACACCTTATAACACTAACTTTTCTCCAAGTTTAATTATAACTGATAAACTATGTACATAAGTCTTAAGTTTAAAGTTTCAATATACAGTGAGTAGATTAATGTACTAAAGATACAGGACTCTGTTTTATCATATTTTATTTACTATGATAAAACAATTTTAAAAGATACAGGAGTCGAAATAAATGGGGGGGGGGAATGTGTGTGATGAGGGCTTTTTTAATCTAATCCCTGATTACCTAGTGTTTGTGAAGTCAGGATCATGCTCTCTTGCACTGTTAATGCACTGTATAGCTGGGTACAAGTACACCTGATATAGAAGAAAGTTGACAAGTCTTTGCTCTTTATTCAATTCAGACATATATAAGGGTCCTGCCTAGCGTAGTAGATCCCTGCTTCTATGGATCTGGTGCTTATTGCCTGTTCTTACACTATGATTAATGCAGGGGTGGGATTCAACCGGAGTTACTACCGGTTCGGTGATATGTTTTGCACCGCACGTGTAAAAAATCTTAAGTGTGCCGCCCAGAGAGCTAAAAAGCGCAGCACGCAGGTGCGCAGCGTTTGAAAAGCCTCTTTTTTTCCTGCTTTTTCAACCTCAGCTGTGAGCACAAAGCAGCTGAGGTTGAAAAAGCAGGAAATAAATGACAGGGAAGAGCCCGGGCGGGCAGGTGGGCCAAACAGCAGCAAACATAGAACCGGTTTGGTGTCTGCTGCTCTTCAGAGCTACCGGTTCTATAGAGCCAGGCGGAAGCGATAGCATCCCACCCCTGGATCAGTGCCACCTTTTCGTCCAGCCATTGGTAAGATTTCCCAATGTCTCCCACCTCAGCTTTCTGTCGATGCTACCTCCCATGCAGGGCATTATCTTACTATGGCACTTCCTCTGCGTGATCTTCCATATCTGCTGCTCCCTCATTTTCTCAGCAGCTTATCTTGGCATTGACGTAGGCCTTGATATAGGCATTCAGAAAGTCTTCAGACCCCTTCATTTTTGTCAATTTTATTGTGCTGCAGCCTGATTCTACAGTTGCTGAAATTCATTTTTTTCTCTCATTAAGACTCTCACTTCAGAAGGATGGAAGGCTGAGTCAACCTTGAGCCTGGTAAGATTCGAAGTGCCAAATTGCAGACAGCTGGCAGTCAGAAGTAGCCTACAGTACTGCACTCTAACCACTGCGCCCCCACGGCTCTTCTATAGACACTCCATCATTTAAAACTTTTAATGACCACTACGTGATGGATAAATACTACAGCACTTGATTATACCTTAGACCAGGGGTATCAAATTGGTCCCAAGGGCCGGATGCATCACGGGCAGGCCACGCCCACCCCAGCTCCGTGAATGGGAAAACGTCATGAAACATCACAGCTCGAGTTTGATCCTGACAATACAAAATAGTGCAGTATTGGGTGATCATGAGATTTGGGGCTTTTTTTTTTCTGTCAGTGTTATGGACACCTGCTATATTCTTGCAGGCCACCAATGGATATTAGATCACAAGTTGGGGGTCATTGATAGCGGCCAAAATAAAAACGTCTACTCACCAAATGTATTATATATGGCTTAGTCGATTTTATCAGAACAATTAATTATATATTCTAAAACAATCCAGGGCTAACTCTTTTATATATTGCATTTATAAGGAAGGTAGTAGCCTAAAATGTAACTTTTTATCCATAGAGATCATACGTTGCCAAAGAATAGGAACATTACAACATTACATATGAAGAGGTATAAATAAAATATTTACAAAATGCTTCTTTACAAAACACATATGCATACAAAATGAAATTAACAATAAAATAATACCACTTAAGGCAGACCAGCAAAAGACTGAAATTTGTTTAAGGCTGTGAAATAAGTTTGCACCTTGACCTTTGAAAGGATGGGAATAGGAGTTATTTAGTCTGATTATTTCCTTTGTGGAAATCCTGACAGCATCTCGGATATATAGTTGTCTCCATCCAAACAAAAAAACAACCCATTACTATAATAACTTTCCTACAGTTCTCACTATTGGTGGGACCTTACACAACAGCTGCAAGTCCACTGTAGTAATAGTGTAATCCAATGTGTATCTCTTTATGAAAAAGTCCCACCAAATTGAATGACTTGTATACCCAAATGTTGTTTGTGGGACTGTACTCAAACTGTTCATCTTTGAATTCATTGGGGCTTACTCATAAATAAATATGGAAAGATATGTAATGTTCTTCACATGACAGAATATGTGTCTATTGTGGAGTCACATGGGTAAAATCAGAATAATTTGCTAGCAAAATACGAAGATCTGATTAAAGCACTAGCACATAAAAATAGAATGCAAAATATGGCTTAAATAGAACAAGCGTTTTCCTATTTTGAAAGTATAAATAAGCCAACTAATCCTGACATGTTGACAATCATTAATATAATGATTTTAGAATGAGTATTTAGGAGAAAAAGGGTGGGTTTGATTTTATTATGCTAAGAAAGCACCATCATCTGATGAATAATAGATGCTCGAAACAAATAGGAAAGAAAAGAAGTCCATGGAAATGGCACTTTCAGAATTTTTTGAGATTCCGATGGTGTAGAGCCGTTCTGAGCTACATGCTAAAGGACCCAAATCATTGCTAGTCACACTTGACCACATGTAATCAGTGGTTCTTTAAGAAAGAACATGCAGCTGTGTCGGACAGATCCAAGACACTGAATAAGGGCCAGAATAATACATCTGCTTGCAGCCAGTCTTGAACTACTTTGCTAACATTGTCTCACAAAACGAGATTTTCATATTTTGACAGATGAGCTTTAAAAAAAACACAACTCCCAGCCTCTTTTATTTGTGTAGCATCTGATTGCTCTTGATGCAAAAAAAAAGGTAATTGGGCTAGATAGGTTTTACATCCACATTACAGAGCCCTTTGAAGTAACAGTTGCTTTAATATCTGAAGAAACACTTAGATTTGTGTCACAATTTATGCTTATTCTATGGAGCACCAGTCACAAAATCACCAGGGTTTATCCCAATGTTTGCTTACAGTGAAGATTTCAGCAATAATTCATAGTAAACTATTCCGTATAAAAGTCATACATTTTTTTTAGGATCACACGTTACTCAAATTTGGAGCATGTGTGAACATTTGATTGATGTATATGAAGAGTAGCAGAACTGGACGCCCAGGTAGGCAATTGTGAAGCTAATGGCTAGCACAGCTTGAAGAAAGGAAATTTAAGCAAATTACATCCATAAATAAAATGGTGACGCTTCTGTTAGATTGTTTCAGGTCTAGCAAAAATTGCCCATAATTTTTAAAAACATCTTTACTTGGATGTGGCATTTTTTTCAGCCAGACTTACTCATTAGTATATGTAGCAGTGCAGCATAGATCTTAAGAAAAGGAATAGGTGTGATTTTAGGATCCAACTTCAGTTGAATCTTGGCTTTTGTTTTTACCTGAGCCCACATGCCACACCTTTAGATGATTGTCAGTGCCTTTTAGAAATAGTTTCTTAAGGCAACAAGGAATTGATCTGATCTTACATTCCATGTTATGACAGCATTGCAACATATAACCGTTACTTTGATATTAAGTACAGCAAAGTTCTAGGAGAAAAAAATGGATTATGAAAAAATGAACATCTTGTATTTAAAGGAAAAGGACTTTGCCTTTTTTTTCTAGCAAAGGCACTCTATATATACTTAATAGCCCCAAATCCTAACATCAATTCATTTTCTGTACTGTTTGTTCTGCTTTCCTCTATTGATTATTACTTATCTAGTGAGACAAGGGGAAAAAACATCTGTAGCACTTGTTTGGAGAAGTTTGATAGAAAAAGGGGAAAATATTAAGGAAATAGCCCTGTTAATTTGATTTAGAATTATTATTAAGTATGACATGAGTCTTACAAAACCATAATTTATATTGTAAAGAGCATGCACCAAGTAAAACAAGATGCAAGAGAGAGAATCGCCAAGAAAAAACTGCAAATGTCTTTGGGACGGAGGCTTTAGTAACCCCAATATTGTGCCAGTTCAGACAAGGTGGCCTGTGCGCCTGTGAATTTAATCCTTGTTATTTCCCTTTCTTTATTTGGCGAATGTTTTCTTGGTTCTTAAGGCATAATGTCTTGAAAAAAATGAAGTAGGCTCCCCACAAAATAAAATAGATAAAAACGAGATCAGACCAGGATCTTGGTCCAAAAAATTAATAGACTGAGATTCTTATGTCTGAAATAGATGATAGGGTCTTTGTTGGAATTTATAAATTCCTTCAGTAAACAGGAGACTTTAAATCCACTAAAGAATTTCCATCAGAAGAGCAGGGGAGAAAATATATCCCTATTTTCTCCCAATTCCAGCAATTCTATATCTCCCCTAAAAAAAAAAAAACTATTTCAGAAGATGGAGGACACCCCTGGAAAAATAAATGAACAACACTAGGAGCTTTGCCCTAGACAGAGTGTGGAATCGGCAAGAGTCACACGCCTTTCTATGGCAGAAACCTTTGAGATAGAACTTTGCTCAGTAATCCTGATAGAATTAAATAATAATAATCTAACCCATTAAATCTAACATGCTAAAGATTTGGAATTCTTCCTGTTTTAGTATTCTTGACCCCAGACCCAATCCTTTTAAGCCAGAAATATTGAGGCTTAATCACTCCTGGAAAAGAACAAGGAGAAAAGTAGCAATGCTTATTGCAGAATAGAAAACTTACTCTGTGTTATAGTTCTCTTTGCCCCACGTTTTCTTTAGGAATTGAGTTCAATTGTCTTCTACAATTCTTGTCACTATTCATTATAAAATTGCAAGAACTGTTGCCAGTTCCTTCCACCCTCCCTAACTTTCAATTGTACAAGAGTTCTCTGTCTTGTGGGCTCTGAGAGGAAAACCCTTGGTGCCACTGACAGAATACCAACAAAGTTACCAAATGTCAGCTTATCACGGGGGTTATGCATTCATTTGGAAACCTAATTATCTGTACCATCCTGCCAAGGGATGAAAGCGTCAATTATTCCTTTGCTTTTCCCAGAATGATGAGATTTATTTTATCTTTTCTCCAAACAATACATTTGGCTTTGAAAGTATTGTATCAGGAGCTTTTTATATCTCGAGTAGTGAAAGGACACCCTCAAATCATTGGCACTTTGTGATCCAACAACAGGAGCCCATTATCTCTGCATGTAAGATGGTAGCAACCATCATATCGGTAGATAATCACTAAATAAATCAGCCTACCCTAAGGCATGCAGGACATTAATTGTTGGGGAAGTGGGAAAAGGAGAAAAAAACAGATGGATGTTTTGATTGATTTGACTTCTAAAGAATGTCAATTCAGCAAGGCATGAATAATTCACTAGCTGTATTAAAATACTCTTGGGGTGTTCAGTGTTGGAATGGTTTTACAAAGATAATGAACTATTATTTAAAAAAACCACTTCATTTGAAATGGTTGTTAAGAGCTGTTACATTGTTGGGTCCTTGGCTAATCAGAATCTAATATGGCAATGACTTTTAATGTTATCGTTGAGTTGCTTCATACAATGCTTTGGGATAAAAAAAAACCAACCCACCCATATTTGAGAAATGGAGCTAAGAAGATAAATGCATACAGTCATAGTAAACTATTAGCCTTATGTACTAAGACCAATTTCAGAGCCATAAGCATAAAGATGGACCCACTATGTTTACCACACTTTGGCCAACTTTGGCTTGAATTCACAACTGAGCAACTTTTTATAAGATAAAGGGAAATAAGATCCTTTTCAGGTTACAGAGAAGATAAGGATTCAACAAACATTCTTCAAATAGAATTTTTTTTTGACATCTAGTTTACAGATACAGCACTTATTTTAAGATAGCTTTTTCTCAACAAAAGTTTTCTGTACAAGAGCTATAAAACTTTAATTTAAAAAAATCACTTTTTTGTGCTTCATCTAAATGTTTTTGATGTTTCCATTACTTTACTCTTACCATCTTATCAGTAGCACACTGCTACTTTATAGTACATTAATCTTGAACAAAAAAAAATGTGCGGCATCCCAAGAGGCCTTATTGGCAACGGTCTGCTGATATCTTGATCAATGCCACGTATCTATCACTTCACTGTTACTGTGAGTCTCAAGTACAGCACTCTTACTACAAGATTAATTCTAGTTCAGGATTTAATGAAATCTGCCTTAGAGGAAAGCTCTGATTAACATGAGGATAGCAATTTTCACAGAATCCAATATTTATCCTGTCCAGTTTCTTTAGCTGACTTTAAATAGTTACCTAGTTTTGTTTTTTTCCAATTTTTGATTGAATTTCAGATACATCATTCAACTATTCATATAATTAGCAAAGCTGTCTAGATCTTTCAGATGGTTGAAGATCTTCAAATCTTTCAGAAAGAAGATAACTGTGTTTTGGTTCCTGTTCTTGTCTGATGCCATCTTATTGAACATGACCATGTAGTTACAACAACCCCCCGCCCAAGATGTTGCACCTGAGGCAACCTGAGAAAGCATCTAATTCTAACTACTTAGATAATGTAACTGCTGAAATGGTACACACTTTCCTCAACAATCACATCAAATGTAATACTCTGTACAGAGAGGAAGAGTTGCAGAGAATCCATTTTCACTCGCTGTAGTGCCCCATTATCATTGAAACATTGAAACAGTTATATTGCTTTACGTTCCTAGGTTCATTCTGCTCATAATGAAACTCTTAACGTTGGGAACGGGGCGCACATCGAACTGGTGTTTGCGGCGTTCGATGAAAGTAGCCAGGCGTGAGGTATCCAGAGGTATTTTGGAATAGCTGCCATTATGAAACTGCAGCCACGGGTGCTGCAAGCAAGTGGCAGCCGTAGGTCTCCTCCTGAAGTCTTCCTGAAGGATGACATTGATGAAATCTTTGGCAGCATGGCTTACATCGCAAAAGTACTCATTGGGAAAGCTGAAATCTACTCGGCACACATTGATGCATGTCTCCTCCCTGCTTTCATCCAGAAAGGGAGAAACACCGCTCAACATGACATAGGTGAGCACTCCAAGACTCCAGATATCTGTGCCCAGGGACACTGGAGCCCCCTGGAGAACTTCTGGAGCAGCAAATTCAGGGTTTCCAAGCAGATGATGGACATGGTAATGGCCTGTGATTTGAACAGCATCTTCAAGGTCAATTAACTTAACCCGTGGCACTGGGATCCGTAAATCAATCAGTAAATTTTCTGGCTGTGGAAATTTGAAAATTAAATCACATAAATTTTAAAAGGTGTATTGTCCATTTCTGTTGCAATAAAAACAGGTTTCTGTCAATACAGGTACAGCTAATATACGAAGAGAAACATGCCTATATCTGGGGTTACTTCTCAAACAAATATCTTTTTATGGAAAGAATATCCACAGAAGTATTGTCTGGCAGGTTTGTGCCCCATTACATTCAAGAGAGCATCTAGTACGAATCCTCACATGACTGAAACATGATTTATCAGACCATATTGTCAACCCAATTGTCACAAGCAATTAAAAATCACAAGGCACCATCAGTGTATAAAATTTTAATATGTTTAAATGGTTATAAACTGAGATGAATATGATGGGTGCTGAGACAGTTAAATGCTTGTCTTTATTAGGATAGATTTTATTTAAAGTAAACATAATATAGAAAGACAATTTGGGACTGGCAGATGGGAAATACTTAACAGATTGTGAGATGGTCAGTATGTTCATGGACAAAGCTTTCAGTTAAATACATCCTGCAGAATGGCTCACATGTATGTAGACACTAACTTAATTTCAAATAGTTAAAGCTGTGGAGCAACCTTGGATACCAGTAGGTGGGTTTGCTGTGAAGATGACCAAGCAGAAATGGGTACTTAAGATTATAGAGGCACAAGTTAATATTTTCTTCTTTCCTCCTCCTTACCTTTATGTCCAGATGAGCAACTCGACAATTGTGAAGATATTGTAAAGCTTCCATCGTATCTCTTATATAAAAAGCTATTTTTTCCTCCATCAGTTCATCATGATTCATAAGATAATCCAAGAGACGGCCGTCGTCCATTCTAAAATCCCAAAATATTCCATTATGAAAATAAGTCTCATGAAATCTAAGCAAACTCTGAATTCCAGTCCCATCTTAGGCATGAAAGACAGCTGGGCAAATTGGGGCTAATCATTCTCTTTCAGCCCAACTCACTTCAAAGGGTTATTGTTGTGGGAAAAATAGGAAGAGGAAGGAATATTAAGTATGTTCACTACTTTGAGTTATTTATAAGAATAATAAAGGTGGGAAATCAACCATAAAACACTGGGATACATCTCTAAACAGAGTAGTATTTTTCAAAATAAAAAAAGGTAGACAATTATTAAAAATTTACTACTGTGAAGACTTACAATACTACATTTTCATAGGTCTGATTTAATACTCTACATTTAGACTATGCCACTTCATAGAAACTTTAAAAATGCATCTTTGGAACCAGACATATACAAAATGTTCTCTCAGGGTCATTTTCCTCCTTATGGGGAAATGAAATGGCTTTTGTGAAAATAGTCAGATGTACAATGTGACAGAATAGATCAAGGGTGTCCAACCTTAGCAACTTTAAGACTTGTGGAATTCTGGCTGGAGACCCCTGGAATAGATAAATGACTTGCTTCTAGAAATACAAAACTTAGCTTCCATGTAGGACTTACAGTTCTAAAACTAAGATGTAGGAAGATGGTGACTCATAAGTGTCATGAATGGTGATATACTGAGGGTGTTGTAGGTGTTGCAGCATGGCTGCTTCATGTGCGGCCTGTTCTTTCTTTTTCATTTTTTTATTGACAAACTTCACTGCAACATCCTTCCTTGTGGCTTTGTGAATACATTTCTTTACGACAGCAAATCGGCCCCTGGAAAATTAAGACCATGAAGATAACTTGTGAATAAAGGATGAATCCATTTCGGTTCCATACGAATAAATTTTAAGAGCTTTCTAAACTCATTGAGTTATTAACTTTACAAGTAATTATTGTCTTTTGCCCTGGCAATATATTTTATGGGGAAAAGAAAAACCAATAAAAGTATATTCATTTCCGTCCCCCCCCCCAATGAATCTATTATAAGAGATTGTAACTGTGAATTAGAAGCTGAATTCTGAGTAGCTTTGTGTCAGAGAACTCGCTCTTCCCAACATTAGATTGTAAAAATGTAAAGTTAACACCCTTGGCCATCTCCGTACACATATCCTCACAGATGTATACCATCGATAATGTACCACAAGAATACTCAAGCCCCTATAATAAACCCCAAGAGAACTTGGTATCCTCCATAGCCAGGAGACAGGTGGGAATGCATCGTTTCTACAGAACTGAATGCCAGTCCCAAATCATGAACACAATTTGCTCATCAGAAAGGGCAAATCATTCTCTCTCTATCTGTACATAGATAAATCCTGTGCCCAGACATAGCCAGCACTGTTTTCTTTCTAGCGGTTGTCCATGGAGATTCTTAAATCATCCAAGTCAGGAATGTCCCAAAGTTTCTTTTCCAAAAGACAACAGGACTTTCTTGGTTGTTTTTTTTTCCTTTAAGAATGTTTTTCTTCTCATTCAAGAAGCTTCTTCAATTCTTTAGAACTGAAGACTAGAAATAGACTTGTATACCATCCCACAGTGTTTTACAGCATTCTCTGAGCATATTGCCCCCAACAATCTGGGCCCTCTTTTTACCAAACTTGGAAGGATGAAAGGCTGAGTCAACCTTGAGCCTATAGGATCGAACTCCAGGTTGTGGGCAGAGTTTGCCCACAAGACTGCATTCTAGCCACTATACCACTAGGGCTCAGAAGCTCCTTGGATGAGGAGGGAAACGTTTTCAAAGAATTTTTTTTTTTTAAAGCCCAGTTGTCTTTTGGGAAAGCACTTTTGGAACTTTCTACTGGTTCCACATTTCCAGGTGATTATTTCTTCATTTGGCTTTAGCATTGAAGGGCACATCTAAGGTGAAGTTACAAAAAGCAGTAACCCAGAGCATGCATTTCTATATCATGCTAGTATCAACCCTGAAGCTGACCTGACTGAGGCCATATCCCTCAGCTCCAGTGTGGCAACACCGAGGTCTCAAAATGGCCTCAGTCGGGGTGTATTACTTGGAACCCTGACAGCTACACCATCATGTTTTCCTTCACTAAACCTACCGCTGTGGTTTGTAAACATTTGGTTAATACAGGTGAAACTCGAAAAATTAGAATATCATGCAAAAGTCCATTTATTTCAGTAATGCAACTTAAAAGGTGAACCTAATATATGAGATAGACTCATTACATGCAAAGCAAGATAGTTCAAGCCGTGATGTGGCATAATTGAGATGATTATGGCTTACAGCTCATGAAAACCCCCAATCCACAATCTCAGAAAATTAGAATATTGTGAACAGGTTCAATATTTTAAGCTCAAAGTGTACCACTCTAATCAGCTAATTAATAATAATACCTGCAAAGGGTTTCTGGGCCTTTAAATGGTCTCTCAGTCTGGTTCAGCAGGAATCACAATCATGGGAAAGACTGCTGACCTGACAGTTGTGCAGAAAACCCATCATTGACACTCTCCATAAGGAGGGGAAGCCTCAAAAAGTAATTGCAAAAGAAGTTGGATATTCCCAAAGTGCTGTATCAAAGCACATTAATAGAAAGTTATGTGGAAGGGGAAAGTGTTGAAGAAAAAGGTGCACAAGCAGCAGGGATGACCACAGCCTGGGGAGAATTGTCAGGAAAAGGCCATTCAAAAGTGTTGGGGACTTTCACAAGGAGTGGACTGAGGCTGGAGTCAGTGCATCAAGAGCCACCACACACAGACGGATCCTGGACATGGGCTTCAAATGTTGTATTCCTCTTGTCAAGCCGCTCCTGAACAACAAACGTCAGAAGCATCTTACCTGGGCTAAAGAAAAACAGAACTGGTCTGTTGCTCAGTGGTCCAAAGTCCTATTTTCTGATGAGAGCAACTTTTGCATCTCATTTGGAAACCAAAGACCCAGAGTCTGGAGGAAGAATGGAGAGGCACACACTGCAAGATGCTTGAAGTCCAGTGTGAAGTTTCCACAGTCTGTGTTGATTTGGGGAGCCATGTCATCTGCTGGTGTTGGACCATTGTGCTTCATTAAGTCCAGGGTCAACGTAGCCGTCTACCAGGAGATTTTGGAGCACTTAATGCTTCCTTCCACAGACAAGCTTTATGGGGATGCTGACTTCATTTTCCATCAGGACTTGGCACCTGCCCACACTGCCAAAAGCACCAAAACCTGGTTCAATGACTGTGGGATTACTGTACTTGACTGGCCAGCAAACTCGCCTGACCTGAACCCCATAGAGAATCTATGGGACATTGCCAAGAGAAAGACGAGAGACATGAGACCGAACAATGCAGAAGAGCTGAAGGCCGCTATTGAAGCATCCTGGTCTTCCATAATACCTCAGCAGTGCCACAGGCTGATAGCTTCCATGCCACACTGCATTGAGGCAGTAATTGCTGCAAAAGGGGCCCAAACCAAGTCCTGAGTACATATGCATGCTTATACTTTTCAGAGGTCCGATATTGTTCTATGTACAATCCTTGTTTTATTGATTGCATGTAATATTCTAATTTTCTGAGATTGTGGATTTGGGGTTTTCCTGAGCTGTAAGCCATCATCATCTCAATTATGACACATCACGGCTTGAACTATCTTGCTTTGCATGTAATGAGTCGATCTCATATATTAGTTTCACCTTTTAAGTTGCATTACTGAAATAAATGAACTTTTGCACGATATTCTAATTTTTCGAGTTTCACCTGTAGCTTAGAGCAATGTACTAAACTATCCACTTGTGAATTAATCATGATTAAAAACAAGACTGGTTCCTGTTGCAAATAATAGCACGTACAGTAGTGATGGGGCTTAGTAAGAAAAGAAGAGTGAATTCTGGTGAATGGAGCTCATCATATTGGGAACTAGATCTAAGCCCACATATATTTTAAGCAGTTTAATAAATGAGTTGGGATATCTATCTATCGATTGATCGAGAGAGAGAGACACACACACACACACACACACACACACACAGGATACTATATATGTGTGTGTGTATGTATGTGTGCACACACACACAATGTTGTGCAGTGCTTCAGACTCAGCTGGGAAGAGATGTTGCAACACATGAAAGTGTTTATGTGGTTCTTCTCTGTGATCAGTTAAAGAAGCTGTGACTTTCAGGGATTGTGTGGTTGCTATGGAGAGACTCCCATTAATATGATTTTAAAATGTGCAATTGTACCTTCTCTACATTTTCTGATGTTTGGCTTTTGTGAAATTACTTCCTTACCGTCCAATTTCATTCAGCTCTGTATAGGCAAAATCAAAATTCTCTTTCCAAGTAATGGTGGCACCATCCGCTGCAGAGTCTTTGTGGAACCAGATGGATTGGGAAACAGAATTGTAAAACAGATACAGTCAACATTAGGTAATTATTTTAGCAGCAGCAGAAGCAGCAACAGCCATAACAGCCACTACAACGATGGCAGTGAGTGTTGATTTCATCATGCAAATACATTAAAGAGGGAACGGAGTGTTTGCCTGTTGCTCTTGTGTCTTAGCAAGACTCAGGAAGATCACAAGAGTCCCAGAGCAAGCTTCCAAAATTTCATGTGTTCTCTCTAGGAGACCACCTTTCTATGATCAAATCTGTCCCTCTAACCTAAGACAGTCAGAGAATACCTGCAAGGGAGGTCAAAGGAGAGGTACCCTCTGTAGGGGTGAGAAGGGCGAGTTTTGTTTTAATAATAATTACATGCTGTTTGTTATTACTGTATTAATATTATTACTGTAACTTAATATATGAGTCATAAACCACCTAAAATCAATTTGGAATAAATGAATAAAGCTAACTTGGAATAAAAGAATAAAGCTAAGTTCAGTGATGACTTTGTCTCAACTTTAGACCAGGGTTTTGTTAGAAAGTTTTCCTTTCTATACCTGTAAATTGCTGCATTAAGAACTACATGCCTAAGATGGGATGCTTTATAGTGATTAAAATTAACATCAGTATGGACCGAGACTATCTGAGCAATGATTGTATTTCTATGAGATCAGTAAATCACTGCTTTACTGCATTCAGCAGGTTCTGACCAGTTCTGGAGAACCGGTAGCGGAAATTTTGAGTAGTTTGGAGAACCGGCAAATACCACCTCTGACTGGCTTCGCCCCTATCTACTCTCTGCCTCCTGAGTCCCAGCTGATTGGCTGGGTCTTATTTTGTTGCCCTGCACAGGAGAACGGAACTGGAAAGCAGGTTAGTGGGGTGGGGAGGGAATGGTGTTTTGCAATAACTTCCCCTGGAGTAGGGGAGGGAATGGAGATTTCACAGTATCCTTCCCCTGCCACGCCCACCAAGCCATACCCACAGAACTGGTAGTAAAAAAATGTGAATCCCACCACTGTACAAATACCATGTTATACTATTGTGCCATTTCAAACCATAGATCTTGTTTTGACTGGCAACAGTTATTGATTGAGCCAGCAGTGGCACAAGAAACTTGGCTCCCTATCAGTGGTGCCATCATCTACCAAAGTCAAATTATTTTGAGTTGTTGTTTTTTTAAAAAAATCCTCTCCCGAAATACCTGCATGTAAAACAAGGAACAGTTATTCGCTCTGCTAAACATCCATTGCCTAAGGTGGTTGGTTCACTCTGCTTAATGGTGAAACCAGCCCTTCTGAGACCTTTTCAAATGAAAATGCTGGGTTTCAGATCTAAAGGAGTGCAGATTGGCTGGGATCTAATTGAAGTATTGCTTCAGGTTGGGTCATTGAAGCAATCTGATTCAAAGCAGTGCCTCCAAATGGTTCCCCTGTGACATTTCAATCCACAGGGAGGAAGGGGGGGGAGGGGAGGGTTTGGATTCAAGACAACCCATTGCTTTAGTCTGGAGAAAAGTCTGCACATGAATGGGCAAGGGCCAATTTGACCAGGGATGTTGCTTCTCTTTGGAGGAAGCCGTCAATCAGTGTTTTGCCAAATCAAAGCACCTTTTAAAAAATTCTTCAATTATTCACAGGATGGCTGCCAGCAAAGTAAGTATTATAAACCCCGTGCTGCACTCTTTTCAAAAGACCAGCTGCACCAACATAAAAGGATCTGAACGTAGGAAGACTTGTTAGCATACATCTCTCTCGAATTTTTCATAGCAGGCAACAAAATATGAACCCTGTGAAGCTTGAACTCCCAGGAAATGTTGATTCTCGAACCAAGGACTCCAGCCTAGAATTTTGAAGTGTTACATTGGTGGAGTTTTCCATTCTGAAAGTCAGCTCTCCTGTCTGAATACAGGCTCACCGTATTCTGGGAGTTTCACAAATTCAGAGGCCTCGCTGGGTAAGCTAATCCCCCAGGGATTGCTGGCGCTGACCCGGAACTGGTACTGACAGCCAGGTGTGAGGTCTTCAATAACGAGGTAGGTGTCCAAAGTTGAGGCCACAGACTGCTGCCAGATCTGGGAGCCTGTGTGGTACGAAGAAAGAGAAAAGACTAAAGAGAGAAAATAACCAACGTTTAAATGCAATTACACATTTCCTTCTTGGTGACAAAGGCGACTAGCCTTCAGTCACAGGTGGTTAAAAAGAAAGCACCCCGGTTAAAATGCTCCTACAAGTTGATCTAAGGAAGAGTTGAGGTATTTTCATCTCAGTCTTTAGCCTGGTTTCAGTAGAATCTAAAATTTAATCAGTTTAGGGTTTTGTTTTTTTAAAAGTGGTGTTCTATAGAATTTTAGGGTTCTGTGAGAAGTTGGTTGAGTTGTCTGAAAAGATTAAGGCAACAAATAATAGCCACCACCTCAACAAATTATCAAATGCAACCAAAGTTCTAGCAGATAACTTTTTTTTTTTTGGCCTCTTGATCAGGAGTTTGGGGATTTCGATTTTTTAAAGCTGTTCTGAAAAAGTTTGAAACCTCTGATTAAACAGAAGAAATGTTATTTCCAGTTTTTTATTGGTGGCGTGTCTTAAGATTGTAGGCCCATCTATGGAGCCTTACAAACTTGAGGGTGCCCCATCTGTTGTCATGACAATCTATTTTCCCACCTCCCTTGTTCTCCTTAAGGAATAGGATGCCAAATGCATCTGAAGCTCTGTTCTGCAGGATACCTAAGCTTCTTTAAAACTTAGGTAAGTATAAAATGTTTCAGTAGCTTTGCTTGAATAGGAAAAAGAGTGGAAGAGCCCTGTGTAGAAAGTGAGGGGGAACAAGAGAAAAGGAAACTATCCAGGCATGTGTGGAACATGTGTGACTTTTGTGTCATACTGATAATATTACAGGAAGAATGGTGATTTGGGAACCACATCCATCATTTTAGTGAATGAAGCATAGAAGATAACAGGACAGGAGTGGAATGGAATGGAATGGAATAGAATAGAATAGAATAGAATAGAATAGAATAGAATAGAATAGAATAGAATAGAATAGAATAGAATAGAATAGAA